TATAATACACCTGCTTAATGAAATTTTTACATACTAAAAAGGGTCTAAAAAAGAAGCAGAGACAACAAGTATTCCAAAAACCGAGCACTCAGCACTCAATATATCCCAAACAGCACAAATCAAATTTTTAAATGCCACTTAGCTCATAGGCACTTTGTTCCCAAGCCCTGTGTGAGCAAGGTGGGCACTTCAGGAGATCCCACAGGCCAAGAGCATGCTCAACAGAACAATGGGGAGGACGGTCAGAGAATGTACAGTGGAGAGAGATATCATCTCCTCCAAAGCCTTTGATATTAAATGCGTAGCGTGTAGGGAGGAGCATAAGTGGCCTGAGGGGGATGTCCCGAGCACCCGCAAAACCGCCCCCAAGACCCACTGCATTCGAAAGGTCATAGAAGGGGCTTGTTCCTAGCAGGGAGAACAGAGAGAATAAGTTCTTAACACGAGAAAACAATATGTACAATCTAACAGAGACCCATACCACTACAGCATAGTATCCCCCCATTAACCGTCGGATTTACAGGATGCTCCAGAAGGTCCTGCACCATACCTCTAAGCAAATTACTGACAAGGTGACCAGGGAGATCAGGGAGCTGGGCCAGCGCACAGCAGAGCTGGAGGCCCGCATGGACACAGTAGTAACAGCTGTAGATCATCATGACCAGGAGCTAGAGCAGCTCCAGAATGACAACTTGGACTAACATCTAAACTAGAGGATCTGGAAAAAAGGTCCCGCAGATCTAATCTCCGTAGCACTCCAGAGACTGTCTTTGACCTCCAGGCCATCGTTACAGCACTCATGCAGGAATTGACACCGGACATACCCGTGGAACGCCTGGAATTTCAGAGGATCCACAGGGCCCTCACGCGGCAGTGGAAGGATGCCCCCCACCCCCAGGAGAAATTGTGGTGAAATTCCTGTACTTCCGCTCCAAAGAAGCTATTCTTCAAGCGGCCCGCAAAGCCTCCACCCTCGCGTTCCAGGGCTATGACTATCAAATCTTCGCTGACCTAGCCCCGACTACCATCACGAAGCGACGGGCGATGAAACCTGCTCTTTCTGTCCTCCAGCGCCACGTTGTGATGTATGGTGGGGATTTCCTTTTTGCCTAATGTTCACCTTCCAAGGTCGCCCATTTCAATGCAATACCCTCTCCGAAGCAATGTCCTTGTAGGAAGATCTTGGCCTGTCAGCTGACTCCGCCTCCGGCCAACATTCTTCCCCGGGGCAACGATTGATGTCGAATCGCTTATCACCCTCCTCAGCTCCGGCTCCGTCATCTTCAACTAGTCGCAAGGCTCCTCTTCGGAACTCTTCCACTTCGCCCGGATGATGGCCCCCGGGGATCCCTGACCTTCCACTAACTTGAGTCCTCCAGACTCATAATCCTCAGGACCCACCCTGGTGCCTCGTTCCATGGCAGTTGGTTTTACCGTTTTCCTTTTTAGTGTCCATTCGGACTCAGCAATGGCCGGTTGCCTTGTTATTTGGTTTATGCTCATCACTCATACAACTTGTCCATCCCTGCCACACAGCCGCCCGCACATGTCAGACTTCTACTGCTGCGGGTGGCAGAGCGGCGGGGAAGGAGCAGCACTATGGGGGGTGTCAGGGCCCGGTCGCTGGGACCCTGGTAGTTCCGCCAGTGCCTTTTATGTACATTAACCTTGCAGGTGCCATCAAATGCCTGTGTTATCGTTTAAATCATATCTGCTTCGTGGATCTGTACACCATGTCCCAACCCTCTAGATCAGAGGTGTCAAACTCAAATACACAGTGGGCCAAAATTTTAAAAATGCTCCAAGTAGAGGGCCGGGCTGCTTCACACAGTATAATACTGTGGCCTATACAGTATATCACACAGTATAATACAGCGGCATATACAGTATATCACAAGGTATAATAACAAAACCTGTACATTTATTTATTAAAAAGCATGATACATAATTACAATAAAACATTTTTTATTCACTTTTTTATTTACTTTCCCTTTAAGAAATAACCTAAATATTTAAATAATTTTATTTAAATAAAAACATTTTCCGCCCAGCTGTCAGAAGCAGGCTGTCGCTCGGCCAGCTTCGGCTTTCAGCACGGCTCAGCCGAGCCGAGGCATATGCGCTCGGCTCGGCTGAGCCGATCGGCCATGTTCGGGAGCTGTACGGGCTATTGTGAATAGCCCGTACAGCACCCCCTCGGTTCTCTTCAACCGAAGGGGTCCTGGGGCCGAAGCTAGCCGAAGGATCGGCCGAAGCTACGGCCAGATCCTTCGGCAGCTTTGTGAATAGACCCCATAGAGTTAGGACCACACTTTGCAGAGGTGCCTTGGCGCGGCGGTGTGGTTTCTACATATTTTTGGCCAAAAGTCTGTGCAACTAAAACCTCTGATTTTAACGCATACTGTTGACAGGGCAATTTGTTTGGTTGCAGGCTAGCTGGGGATTTTTTGTGTTTTGTACCTTTATGTACATTAACCTTGCAGGTGCCATCAAATGCCTGTGTTATCGTTTAAATCATATCTGCTTCGTGGATCTGTACACCATGTCCCAACCCTCTAGATCAGAGGTGTCAAACTCAAATACACAGTGGGCCAAAATTTAAAAAATGCTCCAAGTCGAGGGCCGGGCTGGTTCACACAGTATAATACTGCGGCCTATACAGTCTATCACACAGTATAATACAGCGGCATATACAGTATATCACAAGGTATAATAAAGCCTGTACATTTATTTATTAAAAAGCATGATACATAATTACAATAAAACATTTTTTATTAACTTTTTTATTTACTTTCCCTTTAAGAAATAACCGAAATATTTAAATAATACAAGCAAAAAACAGACATTAAATAGTACAGTGCATTTACAACAAAATAATTTACTTACAAAAAAAGTTTTTAAAACTGTTGCCCGCTTCTGTGGATTCTTCCCCTGCTTTCACTCCTTTTTGCGCAGGCCCCATAAGCTCCTTATCCCTGATCTGAGGTCTGGCAAGGCAGGGACAGCCGCAGGCCTTTCCTACAGAAGCCACAGGGCACTTCCAGCTATAAAGATGTCCACCATGCAGCCGCCGATCACATCTTTATGACACTGGAATGATGTGGCAGGCCCGCGCCTGCGCGAAGGGGATGCCAATCCTGGGGACACTTGGAGCTTTCATTAGTGTGGGCAGAGCAGTAGCTAGCTTCTTTTGCGCCTGAGGCAACAACAGAAAATTGTGTTTTTTTTAGGTGGTCAGTGCGGGCTCTCTGTGCAGCCGCTGCGACCCTGGTAGTTCTGCCACTGGCATGAGTATCAATCACTGCGGGAGCGAGCTGTGGCATGTTGGCCTGCTGCATGCTGGGAGCTGTAGTCCAAGGAGGCAATGTCAGTGGCTTGGTGGTTATTGGGGCCCCCTTCCTCCTGTCAGTGCCCCCCAAGTGGTGGAGACTGAGACAGCTGTGACTGGGCCCTGGAGTTCCACCACTTGGGTGGGCCTGGACAGGAGGAAGAGGGCTCCATTAACCACTAAGGCACTGACATTGCCTCCTGGGACTACAGCACCAAACATGCTGATGCTCCTTCCCACTGTGGTTGATATGGGGCGTAGTATTAAGAACGTGATTGGCTGAAGATGACATTTTTCATCTTGGCACGCTCAGCTATGCGCGCTTTTGCAAGCTGACGTGCCAGAAAGAAAATTACATGACACACTGCACACAAAGGCAGTGCTTGAGCCTGAGGGCCCAGTCACACCATAAAGAGTGCGTTCCAGTTCCTTGTCGCGCTGTGCCGCTGCCAGGCTGCCTGCTGGGTAATGCAGCCGTCTGGCCGGCGGCAGCTCTCCGCCTCCTCAGTCCCATGAAGATTGTCGGCCACGGCGCACCCCCCCAAACTGGCGGAATACCAGGGTCCTGGCTGCGCCCCCACCCGCTTCGCCCTTCCTACGGCCCTGAGTGTGGGGAGTATACTGGCGGGCCAGATCAAATGATAAATATTATCATGCGGGCTGAAGATAATGACATGGCATCTAGAGCATACATGTCAAACTCAAGGCCCGCGGGCCTTGAGTTTGACATATATGCTCTAGATGCTAGGTCCACCTTTTGCCATTTAACAGGCTACTGCCAGAAATTTTGTAGACAGTAAAATTTCTTCACTTGAGAGAAGAATGGTGAAGGATGCACCTAGTGTCAAAATTTGAAATCCTGTGTACAGCCTGGGCTTAGGAGCTCATTAAGGACACAGAAATGTATATGAAGAATGTAAGCACCACAAAGATGCCTGAATTTTGCACTGCATGCTGTGGTCCCACCTCCAGATTGCTACATCACTGCTAGACACAGTTGTTACATATCAGTCAAAAAGTGAAACAGCAGCATGCAGCAGGGGCACACTATCTATCAACCCCAGAAATGTCAAATGGCAGCAGCGGCTGAAGCTATGAAAAATAACAAAGATTGGAGTAGTCACCCACCAAACAGGTAAGTAAAAGTTGTGTTCTTTAACGGGAACCTCTAGTTCAACTTATATGTTCTAGTGTCAATGTCATTTTAAGCTAGAGAAGAATAGCTTGGTGAACAAAAACAACTGTAGATGATATCTCCACCTAATTTTGGAATCAAAAGTACATATAGTTCCATAGTTGTTATGGTTGAAGACACAGGTCCATCGAGGACAACCTTTGTGGTTTGTCTGTGTTTGTTACAAAGATTATCTCTACCCTTGTATATCTGTGCGCTAAAAAAAAGTATCTAGATAGTTCTTGAATGATTCCATACTCTGAGCTGATACCACTGTCTGTAAGTAAGTTGTGGAAGGGTTTTCCACAACTTCACAGCTCTCACAGTAAAGAATCCCCTTCACTGTTTAAGATTTAACCTATTCTCTGCAGTTTCCGATGGTGGCCTCTTGTATTCTTGACTGAACTGACAGTATACAGCTTAATACTAATTATCCCATCACCATTAAACAAAAGTACATACCTTTTTCTTCTCTGCATCTTCCCAACAGCATTTTTTGTGGTGAACCAAGGCATTTCTCAGCTTCTCAGAAACTTTCAAGAGAAAGTGAACATCGCCAAGTTCAAAAACTTTAAAACTCTCCTGTAATATATAAGCAGGTTAAACTTCAGTCAGCTGGGAATCCAATACAACCTATCTTCTGACTAATTGAAATCTGTTGAAAGTGTTATAGCAAAATTGCACAATACAATCCTAATACAAATGGGGGGGACTATACTTCAATGGGGGGATTGAAGTACTTATAAAAGTAATGCATATGCTCTTATGGCCCACTCATCTCTGTATGCAATATAGCTTTAATGGGTTAATGCTAATGACAACACTTATCACATTCTGCAATACTATAGGTGAATGGATAAAATGAGTTTAATATTAGCAGTAGTTTATTTGTCTCAAGTTAAAAGTACTTGTTTAAGCTGTAACAACTTTGAGCGTTTTGAGTTACTGGAAAACACGTGACTTCACAAGAAATTAATGTGCATCGTTATCTAGCCAAGTTTTGATTTTATATGCAGCATTTCCTATGCTTTTCTTATTTGTGATTGGTTAATGTTTAACTACTGCCCTATGTTTACTTGATATGATTCACTAGCGCACCAAATAAACTTTGATACTGGGCTGATACTACACACGTGTCTGGCTTGATTCTCATAATAAGTACTATCCTTGTCGCACTCCTTACCGATATGTCCCTTGTAGTGGGGGGCGCTCGCAGTGACTGTGGATGGCGCCGCGAATGTCAGCAAAATTATAGAAATGTCACGAGCACAGCAGTTCTTTTAGGATAGCTAAAGCTTCATTTTTTGTCATATAACCAACAAGCACTTTCAGGACAACACAGGGTACCTTCATCAGGCTTTAGCATTGACGATTTTGATTTCCAGTAGTTTATTTGTCTCAAGTTAAGAGTCTATTTCGATTTCTGTGTTTAAATTTGTACATTTTCATGATGAAACTTACCAGTTGATAGACAGTCTCTGACACATGAGATGAAGAAGCATAAAGGTGCTTATACACTGGCCGAATATCGGCTGGTTTTTAATGTACCAGCCGAAATTCGGCCAGTGTATGGGGCTGTTGGCTCCCTTTCAGCTGGCATTCCTCAATTAGCTGATCGAAGGAGCTGGCTGGGAAAATCTGGCACGATCAGAGCTTGCCCACTCTGATCGGGTATTCTGACAGGTGCTGGCGGCACCTGCCAGAATACAATGCAAATAGCGACAATTCCTCGATCTACACATTGTCTGTGTTGATGGAGGAATCACTTCAATTTCTTCCGTTCAGCTCGCGGGTTGAACAAAATAAATTGATAGGTGTATGGCCAGCTTTAGTCTGTCTGTAGATCCAGATGCCTGAGAAGGAAAGGAACTAGGGCTGCAACTAATGATTAATTGTATAATTATTAGTTGGCCAATTATTTTTTCGATTAATCGGATTAAAAAAAAAATACTATCCCTAATTTAAAATAAAATACACAAATGCAGTGTTAAAAACAAGGTTTACTTCAGAATAAAACTGCATGTACAATTTTTTTGCAATCGCACTGCACTGGAATGCACAACATTGCGGTACCGTGCTTTCTAGTGCGGGCGATCACACTGTGGGTGGGAGGCACGTTTGGGTTGCCATTGAAATGAATGGCACTGCAACGCAGCTCCTGCAGCAGAATTTGTTAGGCCGAAATCAAAAATGAAAATGTCCCCAACTTTTATAATTTGTTTTGTTTAAATAATTGCATTGCAAGCACTTGGTGCTTAAAGGAGAACTATGGGGTAAGTATTTTTCCCCATAGTTCTCCTAAGGGTCACGGGAGGACATAAACTAGCGTCCTCCCGTCACCCAAAGCTCAGTATATTGCGGTATACTGAGATCGCTGCAGCCGGGACGGATCCCGACATTACTGTGGAGATCCACCCAGCTGCGTGATTGGGAGGCAGAGCCAGCTGCACCCGCCCCCTCCCCCGTCCGTTCCGCCAGTCAGGGCTGGAGGATTGGACAGGGGAGGGGGGAATCCCTGCAGGGAGCCGTGAGTGACAGTCACGGCTCTCTGCACGCATAGATCGAGAATTGAGCGAGCGACGGTATGTGTTCGTTCACTTCCCGATCTATTAAGCCGACCTGTGACAGTTTAATTGTCACAAGTCGGCTAGAACTATGAGGCTGAGTGATTTTCGCCTCATAGTACTCCTTTAGAGCGAGCCTGCTATTGGCTATTGCAATTTAAAATGACCAATAGCAGCCTAGCTATTCATTCCCCTGCCATTTAGTTTTTTTTTTTTTTTTATTGTGACGGTGGCCGACGGCCGCTGTTAAAATAAAAAAAACAGAGAAGGTACCTCAGTGAAATAAGAAGGGCACCTCCCTGAAATAAGGTTTTGCAGGTTGGGATGTCTGGATCTTATTTATTTGTGCAAAACCTTCATCCCAAAAGAAAAAAAAAATCTGTAACTGGTTGAAAAGTGTTAGCTGGTGGTCGGATTTAATTTGTTAATCAAGTTGATCTAAATCTACTAATGCCCCCAACACTACCCTCTTCACAGGTTGACAATGGTGTTGTGAAAGGGTAGCTACTCTGCTCCTTCATAGAGTTGGGCCACCCCAATCCAGGAATTGTGTTATTAGCTGGATTACCATGTGAAAATAAAGGGTAAAAAAAAAAACAAACGACAACTATTGCAGCCATGTTTAAGGACGGATAAGCTGCAATATATTACATTTTGCATTTTGGGTTTAGATGTGCATTAAGTTATATTACCCATTCATTTATCTTTGCTGGGTATGTCATTTTCCTGTGTCTCAGGATACCTATCCTGGCTGCTACAAGACAGGATATAAGCAAAATAAGATTTTTGTATTTACTGTAAAATATTTTTCTTGGAGTCCACTGAGAGACACAGGAATTTAGATAGTCAGGTCATGCTGCAGCTTACAGGAGGTTTGTACACAGGTAAACAGGAAAGTGCAGGCCATCCCCCATATAACCTTTTTACCCAGCATGCCTCAGTTTTGTGAAAGCAGTACCAAGAGCCATAACAAATACAGGGAGGGTGGGTCATGTGTCCCTCAATGGACTCCAAGAAAAATATTTTTTGCTAGGTCCATTAACCTCTTGCCGTCCGCCCGTAGTAAAAAAACAGACGGACGGCACTGCAGCATCTGCGGGTTGCCGTCTCCAGACGGTTTTTATATTTTACCAAAAAATTGGGTAATAATAAATGTTTTATCATTTAATATAGGGGAAACTGTTTTTTTTAAAAAAAATTCGGTAATTTTTCCTTAATATAGTAAAAAAATAAAACCCCCAGTGGTGAATAAATACCACCAAAAGAAAGCTCTATCTGTCCCCAAAAAAGGGTATAAAATTCATTTCAGTACAGCGCTGCATGACGGAATAAATGTCAGTTAAAGTACCGCAGCGCTGAATACTGAAAAATGGCCTGGATGGGAAGGGGGTTTAACACCGCGGATGTCAACTGGTTAAGGAATACAGGAATTCCACTACTCAGTATAAGTCTTCTGCTCACAGAACAGGCAGTTAAGGTGGTTGATGTGGAGAGGTGAGCGAGGATGACAAGGTAAGAATCTGGATTCTTGAGCTAGAGGAAGTGGCAGGGGTTCACAGAAAAGGCCAGCCCTGTGTTTAAGCTCCCAAATGAATGTACTAAGTTGAATAAAGATGTGTTAGTAGCAAACCCAGGAGGTGGCAGACCTAGATGTCACTGCTACTCCTAGCAGCCAGGAGAGAAGTTCATCTAGTTAGGGTAGTGAGGGTAAAGCAGGAAGGCCTAGACAGTTGGTGGTAATATGGGATTCTAGAATCAGGAGGATGGATAGAATAATGTGTTGCTCAGATAGCCTCAATTAAATGGTTTACTATCTTCCTGGTACCAAGATTTAGCATGTGGTGGACCAGGTAGACTGGGAGGTGAATGAGCATTACCCAGCTGTCTTGGTCCATGCTGAGACCATTGGCAAAATAGATGAAATAAAGTGGATTAAGAATCATTATAGAGAACTAGGCTGCAAGTTGAAATGAAGCACATCCAACGTAATATTCTTTGGAATGTTGCCTGTGCCATGCACAATGCAGTAAAGGCAGCAGGAGCTTAGGAAGCTAAATGCATGGCTAAAGACCTGGCGTAAGAAGAACTCATTTGGGTTTCTAGAGCACTGAACTGACTTTTCATTGGGGTACAACCTATATGCTAAAGATGGTTTGCACCTAAATGGATGGCAGAGGAGGGAGGCAGGGGTCAGGCACTAATAAATGGTGAAATAGAGGAAGATGGGGGAATCCTGATAGGGAGATTTTCATGTTACAAACAAGTAACAAACACTGTCTGTACTACAAAAAAAAAAGATATGAATATTACAAGTGCAGCAATGAATTAGAGAGTTTGTTTACCAATGCCAAAAGTCAGCCAAGCACAATAGGAGAGTTGGACGCTTTGGCGCATGAAGAACACTATGGGGTCTATTCACAAAAGGGTGAAGAGTTTGGAGAAGGCAGGAGACGTGAACAATGTAGGCCAACATAGCTGAACTGGAAAGTGAGCTGAATAGGAGAATTTTTCCAAATCAGCTATTTTGGCTTAGATTGTTCACTTCTCCTGCCTTCTCCAAACTCTTCACCCTTATGTGAATAGACCCCTATGATTTTATTGGTATTGCTGAATCTTGCCTTTCTTCCTCACATGATTGGACTCTTAATATTCCTGGCTATGGTCTCTTTCATAGAGACAGAAAAAAATGAAAAGGTAGCAGGTAATAATGAAATTGAAAACCCAAATTTTCTGGTAAAAATAGTGTACACAGGGGGCGTGGCCATCGCTCGAATTGCATGGGCGCTGCCTGAGTGAGCTCTGTGCAGGATCGCGCCTAGAGGCTGATTAAGGCTACAATCAGCAGATCTAAGGACACTCCCGGGCTACTACAACCATACTGCTCCCGGTGGAGATGTCGAAAAGAAAAAAAAACAGCTCCCGTCCTCGCAGACTCACTGACTTTTTCGCTGCTGTCCCGCAAACGGAGCCAAGATGGTGGCGGTCTGTCACGGCCAGCGGCGCTCAAGGCCCCATCTA